TTTTGAATATGTCTCCTGGTGCACATATTCAAGAGTTTCTCTAGGCTGGATACCTAGGAGTAGAATTATGTGGTATGCGTCACAAGATAATGCTGAAACGTTTTCCAAAGCAATTGTACAATCTCACCAGTAAAGTACAAACCTTCTCAAATCCTTATTTGACATTGTCAGATATTAATTTTTGTCGATCTAGTGACATAAAACCCATCTCATTGTGGAAACGCAGTTGCATATCCTGGACTAGTAGGGCAGTGAAGAATCTTTTCATGTTTTTTTTTTTTTTTTTGTAGTTTTCTTTTTCTGCGAAGCATTTTAAAAATGTATTTTGTACATTTTATTGGGTTTATTGTCATTTTCTTACTGATTCATGACAATATTTTATATATCTTCTCTTAGGCCAACGTTTCATTCTGTTTCTCAGGCAGGCCATTTTATTTATTCTTATGGCTTGAATTTCTTTCTATGTATTGATTACTCACAAATCTAAGTATTCAGTCCAAGATGTTCTTCTGAGCATCACACTCACGAATCCAACCAGACACTTACTCAACACCTTTACGTGGATGTCTCACAAGATTATGAGGCTCAATATGTCCAAAACTGAGTTCAGCATCTTCCCATCCAAGCTGAATTCCTCCCTCTGTTTTGTCTTCTATCTTAGAGGTATCACAACCAAAAACTCAGGTATCCAAGCTACAAACTTGTGTGTTTTTTGACTCTAGCCTCTCCTTCATATGTGATGTCCAATCAATAACCAGGTTCTATGGATACTGATTTCTAAACGTCCCTTGAGTCTATTCCTGTCTCTGAATCCCCAATGCTATTCCTTTATTCAATGATCACAGGCACCCCAAATTGCTTCAGGGTCCTCCTAGTTGGACTTCTGGTCTGCAGTCAGCATACTGGAGCCGTGGGGATAGCTTTTTAAAACAGGCTACGTGGTCAAGCCACTGCCTTGTTTAAAAAGTTTTAATGGTTCTCCGGGAAGCGGAGATTGCAGTGACTTGAGATTGCACCACTGCATTCCAGCCTGGGCAACAGAGCAAGACTCCATCTCAAAAAAAAAAAAAAAAGTTTTAGTGGTTCCCATTACTTACCAAGGTCCAGACACATCATGGCTTAAAAGACTTCATAGTCTGACCACAGGTCATCTCTCATTCCTCATCCACTGTCACGTCCTCTGCATGCTTTGTGCACCAGTCGGACCCAGATATGGCAGAAGCTGCAGATGTGGCAGAAGCTGTCCTACCTGAGAAGATTAATAAAGAAATGTCGAGTGAAAAAACCACATACCACCTGTTCTCACTTATAAGAGAGCGCTAAACATTAGGTACAGTGGAAATCAAGATGGGAACAATAGACACCAGGGGAATCCAAAAGAAGGGAGGAAGAGGGGCAGGAGTTGAAAAACGACCTGCTGTGCACTGTGCTCCCAAACCTCAGCCTCACACAATCTATCCACATAACACACCTGGAAAGTGCACCCCCAAACCTAAAATTAAAAAAGAAATTTGGTTGGGTGCAATGCTCACAACTATAATCTCAGCACTTTGGGGGGCCAAGGTGGGTGGATCACCTGAGGTCAGGAGCTCGAGACCAGCCTGACCAACATGGAGAAATCCCGCCTCTACTAAAAATGCCAAATTAGCCAGGTGTGATGGTGCATGTCTGTAATCTTAGCTACTCAGGAGGCTGAGCCAGGAGAATTACTTGAACCCAGGAGGCTGAGGTTGAAGTGAACCGAGATTGCACCACTGCATTCCAGCCTGGGTGACAGAGCCAGACTCTGTCTCAAGAAATAAATAAAATAAAATAAAATAAAATAAAATAAAGAATTGTTAAAATGGTAAAAGTCATGTTGTGTATACTTTGCCACAATAAAAATGGATAAAAAAAAAACTTGGGTAAAACAGGGAATCATACAAAAATGACATATACATATGATATGTATTTTATTTCAACTCAAAGCACAGAAATGTGTATTTATTCAGCAATGTCTTGAAATAGGGCCAAGACCTTTTCTTAGAGTGTAACTCGACTGGTGTTTGGAATCATCTTTTTTGCACAAACCACACCAATAATTGATTATTTATGATTTCTAATTACAAATGGATCAAGACTTAAGAACACTTACGAAGCAATGTAAGTGTGTAATTATTCTACATTTGAAAAACTTTTCTCCCCAAAACTATTACAGTTGTTTTTCCCATATCTAGTTTGATAGCATTTTCTTTTTAGGACTTAGACTCATGAAATCTCTTCAAAACATTCTACCTAGGATAAAAATAGTAACTTTCTTTTGTAATCATGTTTCATGAGTTTATATAATACCTATTTAAATCCTATAATTAAAATAACGTTAAGCCTGGCATAAACAGTTTTGGGAACAAATACAGCTGACCCTTGCTAAGCATATAACTCATCCGGTGGAGTGGAAGTACACAGGCTCCCCGGCCTCGCACGCTCCTGTGCTGTGTGTGCGCACTCGTCAGTTTTTTTTTTTTTTTTTAAGGCAGAGTCTTGCTCTGTTGCCCAGGCTGGAGTGCAATGGAGAGATCTCGGCTCACTGCAACCTCTGCCTTCCAGGTACAAGCGATTCTCCTGCCTCAGCCTCCAGAGTAGCTGGGATTACAGGCGCCCACCACCATGCCCAGCTACTTTTTTGTATTTTTAGTAGAGATGGGGTTTCACCACGTTAGCCAGGCTGGTCTCAAACTGCTGACCTCAAGTAATCCACCCGCCTCAGCCTCCCAAGTGCTGGGATTACATGTGTGAGCCACTGCACCTGGCCTTTTTTGGAAATGAGTTAACATAAGGGAAGGGTGGTTAAGAGAATGTCTGCTCTATTTGCAGTTCTTTAAATGTTCATCTCCAGGTTTGGCTTATGTAGGTCCTTCCGCTTGAGAACCTCTTTCCTAATTATGTTTCCTACTCATTCTTCTTCATGTCTCAGTGCACTCATCACTCCATCTGATAAGCCTTCCCTAAGGCTCCGGCACTTACATGCCTCACTTTGTGCTACTGTGTGTTTCTGTTGCTCTCTAGGTTTTCCCAACATTTTGGGGCAGATGATGCCTTTTGGTTGGGTCTGTTCTGTGCCTTATAAGTTGTTTAGCAGCTGATCTCCCCAAGATGCCACTAGCATCCTTCCCCCAGTTGCAACACTCAAACATGTCTTCAGATATTATCAATGTCTCCTTAGGGAACAAGATTGCTCTGGTTGAGAATGATTGCTATAGATTACAGATGTTCATTGAATGACTGAATGACCTTAGTTCTTGGATTGCTGCAGAACTGATCAGCAATAAAGCAGCATATAAATTCAGGAAAGTGCTCACGTTCTTTTTAGAACAGTATCTCCATCCTGTAAAATACATTTCAGTGCATTTTTAATTTGGCTCAGTGCTGCTAACCTAGGAAGCTGTTTTTACTACCTACAGGAGAAGAGTATTAGTGGTGTTTTATATAACTTACTCTGTCTCCCCTTCACCCCAATTTGCCACCTGCCAAAATCTTTGGCCCTCAGAGTGGGAAAAATACACCCTACCAGCCAACTGAAATCTACCAAGTGGATCATGGCCAAGTAAATGTTGAACTCTCTGCTCCTGAAGTTTTTGTGAGAATCAGTTTATGTAAGGGGGCGGGGCTGTGGAGTGAGGAGGCATGGGTTTGAAGTACAGTTAGCTTAACATCCCATCCTATTTAACAGTCTTTCTACATCCCTTGAAAGTAAACTCACCAAACTTCTAGGTGGGAACCCCTTTCCATGTCTCTGCTATCTATGGGACCTTTACTTATTTGTTTAATAAATATTTTTGGGCACCTAATATGTGACAGACACTGGTTTAAATGCTGGTCATTATGCCTATGTTCGTGTGATTTGCCAAAAAATCAGTTTCATTTATAGGGTTCTTGGCCCCACCTTGGGCTCCATGCTGGGCTGAGTCTTCCCTGTCATCTGGTTTGTGGCTCCCACAACTTGAGAAAAGGTTGGGAAGTGATTCAGAGACAAATGAGTGGTTAAGAGGCTGGCTGTGTCTGTTGAGGAATTGCTGAGAACACCCACTGCGGCTGTCTCCTGAGGGAGAATCAGCATGAGGTGCAGGTCTATCTAGAAAAGGGGTCTCATACAGATTTTCAGAGCTTTGTTCTCCAAGTCCACGTGGCATAGAGAAGTGTCAGGCATGAGGGAAACAGGTGAGACGTGGCAAAGCACTTCCTGACATACCTGCTCTCTCCCACCAAGTGATGGGTGGTTCCCCGGACCCACCCTGCGACCGGGCACTGGCTGCCTTGCCATGCCTGCGTGCTGGCACCTTGGACTTCAGAGCCTGGGGAATTCTCATGGCAAATCCCTACCTGATAAAACTCCACTGGGGGAAAATAGGTTTTCATGCACGTTCCCAGGAGTCACTGTTGAGGGTTGTGTTTTTTTTCCTGTGAGCCGTTGGCAGAAGCAGGCTCTAAGACTAACGTCAGAAGGGCAAGGGAGCTTTCTGTTAACTGATCGCCTGCAGAGGATCAGGGAGGAATTTCTGCTGGACTGCCTGCTCTGGTCCACCCTGGCCTCGTTTTCCATCTCTGGATCCTTCCAGCCATGCAAACATACACAGCGTTGCCATGGCGACTCTGAGACAGACACATGCTTGGGAGAAAAGCGTGAGGCAAAATCTCTCCTCTGATGATGTGCTGGGAGGGAAGGAGGCCTTGAACAGGTTTCAAAAGCACCTTGTTTCACCCCCTGATTTTCACACGAGAGCAGCTACCCCAGCCATAAACGCAGTGGCCTCTTTTCTTCTGCTTTGCTTGCTGAGGTGACTGCAGCTCTGGGAGACCGGAAGAGGCTCCAGGATGAAAGAGCCTCACACCCTTAAACCCACCCTCAGAATGTGTTGCCAGTCATCAGCTGGGGACACCACTGGATGATCAGGGCTGTCCCTGGTGATTAAACCCATTACGCTCCCACCAGGACCCCTCGCTTGTCCTTGTGAGTTTCTGGCATGGTCCTCCTCTGTCTCTTCCTCGCCAGCTTGGCTGCCACCCCTCAGGCTGGGGTCACTGGGGCATGGCCCACCAGCGGCCTCTCCATTCTGGCCCAGCTCCAGCCGTCCTGTGAGCTCAAGTGGACTCAGCTTTCCAGGTCGTCCTGGAGAGATCTGGTCATGACCACATCACTCTGGATTCTGGTGCATTTCCAGCATTTTTCCCAGGTGAAATCAGGCTTAAATGAATATTACGCAGTGACAGGAAAAACAGCTGCTGCCTAAAGAAAGAACACACACAGCAGAAGAGAAATGATGGTGGTGATGGAGGTGGGGTAGATGTTCAGTGGGGGGCCCTGGAGGCGGGGGTGGGGTTGGGGGAACAGCGGCAGGGTTTATTTGTCAGCCCCCACCATGCTGGGTGTGTCCTGAATGCCCGTTCTGATTACTTGGTAATGTTTTTTGGGTGCTGTGCTGAGAAAGTGTGTGAGGCTGCACGAGGTTCTGCAGTAGAGAGCCCTGGTGCTCCATGACCAATACCTGTGACTGGTGCAGCAAGAGGGACGTTCCTCCCCTGAAATGAGTGAGTGCATCTTCCCTGAAGGTGGGTGTGGAGAAAGTCCATCACCAGGGTCCTGTTTGGAGGAGAAGCAGCAGATCTGAATGAATCAACTTTCATCAAGTCACACCATGGCTCTAGGAGAGCCAGCCCACTTTGTCATCAAGCCCCACATTCCCTGGCTGGCTGACTTTCAGCCTCCAGTTTGACCTGGCTCAGAGCAATTTCAACCCCTGTTCTCAGCACACCCCTCCTGCTGTGGTCGGGCACGTGGCCTTCTTAGTCCTTGAAGGTAGCCCCCAACACCTGTTTCCATGCTCTAGTCCAAGGCCCACTCTCCTTCCTCTGGCTTCCTGAAATCCCTCACGTTGAAGGCCAAGTTCAGGACCATGTCCTCCACACACCTTGTAGACAGCTCCACCCGTGGTGGTCTCTCCTCTTCTGCCCTTTTCTCTGTAGTCTGTGCATTCCAGATCGGCACATGAGCTTTTGTGTGTGTGTGTGCACACAGTGACTCCTGGGAATGTCCAAGGTGCCAGCACACAGCCATGGCAAGGCAGCCAGTGCCCGGTCCCTCTCCTGGCTTCCTTTGTGTTAGGCACAGATGGGAATCCAAGGCAGAGATGATGTTCTGCCTTTACCACATTGCTGGAGACAGGATCAGACTTGTGGGACCTGCTTGGTTACCACCTGCTGAGATTCTATTTTCTTTTATGATTTTATATGGTAGATGTAGCACACTCTTGGTTGCTTACCCAGTGTGCATTTCCCTTCTCTGCCTTGGTCACAGAACCCAATTTTATTTCAGTTAGTGCGATGCCCAGTTAAAAGGTATCCTTTCCATTTTATTATAAAGCTAAGAGTTAACATTGAAATGTGAGCAAACGTGGACAGAGATGGATGTGTTACAAATATTTTCTCCCAATGTGTGGCTTGTCTTATTTTCTTAACAGTGTTTTCCAAAGACTAAAAGTCTTTCATTTTGATGACTTCCAGTTTATCGCTTTTCTCTCTTCTAGGTCATGTTTTCTGTGTCATATCTAAGAAGACTCTTCCTGACCCATAGTAACAAAGATTTTCTTCTAGGGTTTTTGTAGTTTTAGCACTTAGTCATAGGCCTGTGATCCATTTTGAGTTCATGTTTAGATATGGTGTGTGGTAAACATCAAGGTTCAATTTTTTTTCTTAATGTATTGTTGTTATTATTATTTTTGAGACAGAGTATCACTTTGTTGCCCAGGCTGGAGTGCAGTGGTGCAATCACAGCTCACTGCAGCCTCAACCTCCCATTTTATTTTTGTTTTTGCAGTGATTCCAGCACCATGTATTAAAATCACCCAGAGTTTAACCTAGCATTAGAGACCTCCGTGGATTTGCTTAGGGAGTTTCGGAACACTTCAAGTTGCTTGGAACTTTTTGAGTGTATGTGCTCGTGTGATTTGGGGATGGAAGGTTGGTGGAAGTGGAGATGACTAACAGCTTTCACCAGATTCTGGAAGATGCTTATCTCCCAGAAGCTTAAACATCTCCACTGTAGTGTAACACGCAAGGCCTTTTTCTTCACCTCACTGAGCAAAGGGAGCTACAGAAGAGAGAAAGGGATGTCAAAGACTGCGTGTGAGCTGCTTTCGAGTTCCTGGGAAGAAAATAATATGAACTTTGGGGAGTAAGCCTGTAAAAACATACACAAATTATTCTTAATAATAGCATTAAAGCCAAGGCAGTAAAACTTTGTTAAATCTGATACTAGGCATCTTTAACATAGCACATAATTCAAAGCAACTGCATGGTTGTTTTAAGTTCATTCTTCTGGGCCGCTGTGTTTTGAATAGATGAACCTTACTGAGCAAGAGAGTTTAAAATCTAAGTTGAAAATGAAATTTTAATTAAGGGGATTTTGTGAATATGGCTAGAATGAGTATTCTGCATTCAGGATCTTATAGTCCCCAAATGTCAACTAGGTCTAATCACCAGAGATCATTGGCCCCTCACTCTACTGGATTGGCCACAAGGCTCTGAAAACATGAGCTGCCTAACTCCCGGAGCTGCAAAATGTCCGTTTCCCTGGGCTAGAGCAGCGGCAGCCACTTCCCCATGAGGGTGAGGAAATTCAATATCTTCCTGATGGGAGACAGAGCCAGACTCCCACCGGCTGTTCTTTCACTCTAGCAGCTGCTTGCCCTACATTTTCCACGTTTCTGGTCAGGCCGCCCATCAGCCGACCCTTCCAAGTCACCGCTTCCTGAGAGCCCTCCAGTGTGACTCAGACCAATCCCATGGGGCTCCCTTGAGCCATGGAAGGCGCAGAACCAGAGAGCTGGACGGAATCTTGGACATGAGCTGCTCTGAGCCCTTTCATTTTCAGAGAAGAAAATTGAAGCCCAGAGAAATAAGGCCGGTTGCCCAAGGTCACACAGTTAGAGGTAGAACTGAAACTAGATGCTGGGTTATCCTGACGTGAGGCCAACATTCTTTCTATGATAGACGGAGTAGAAAAACGGAAAAAAGCACAAACTTGGGGCTCAGACAGACCTAGGTTTGGATTCTAACTTTTTGTTCACAATCTATGTTACTTTGCGAAAGGCACTTTAGCTTTCTAAGCTTTAGTGTCCTCATTGGAAAACAGAGATAAATATGCGGCAGATATTAAGTTCCTTTTCTGGACTGGCACATGCTATTTTTGGTTCTGAGTACATAGCTGGAAATGAAAAGAACCAAGTCCCTTGGCCCAAGGCGTAGAACTTACATCCCAGTGTGTGAAGGATAATACCAGTGCTTCTGAGGTTATTGTAAGGATTCAAAGAGACAAAAAATGTGAATGTAAGCCCAGTTCCTGGCAGAGTAGGTATCTAGTAAATGGTAACAGCAATTATAATTATTACTTTATGTTCCAAATGTCAGTCTCCACAAAGAAGGCCAACTCCTGGGATATAAGGGTTCTGTCTCAGTTTCCTCACCAGCACCCCAGTATATAGGACCCCCAGGAAGCCCTGGCAATCTTTGGTGCTCAGAATCCTGCCCTAACCTACCGTCAAACCCTTAGTTCTTGCTTCTGAATTCATCTGACATCCTATTGACTGACCTGTATGCTACCTTTGCTTCTCAGCTGGGACTCCTTTGGAGAGCCTGAAAGGTGGTCTTGCTGGGACTGGAGACCACCTGACAGCCCACTGTGTCCTGCAGCTTGGATCATCCCAATGGCCTGCTTAGCTCCCTTGTGCTCCCCTGGCCTCTGAGCCACAGCCATTAGATCCCGACTCTGGCCTGCCATTTGGCTCCTGACCCCTCATGTGGGGTTGGCTTTCTCTCTCCTGTCCAGTCCCAGCCCTGCCTGGCACCTCTTGAGCTGCCAATGATGCAATTCCTATTGGTAGTCCAGCAAAAGGCCTTAGAGCTGGAAGCAGTTATACCCTGCCTTGGTCTCAACCATGTCGAAGTCCATGGTCCATTCTGAAGTAACAAGACTCACATCTAGGGAGAGACGCCCTTGACTTCAAGGAACCACCCACTCTGTGCTCTTTCCACCCTCCCCTCATATATGAAGCAGGGTGAGCCATGACTTGGGTTGATGGGTGTTGTGGCAACTTTCAGAAAGGAGAGGAAATGGAAATTTGAATGACCCATGTACACATAGCGGAATGCTGCAATCACATGCCTTTCCTCTCACTGCCAAACTTCAATGGTGTTCTTATGAATTTTTCCTAATATATTGGAGTCTCCAATACCCATTCAATCCCCAGGCTCTCCAAAGCAGAAGATATCGGGACTGGAAAATGAGCAATATATATTTAAGGGAGTATGTTTCTGTACAAGAAGCCAATTTCTGAATAGTTCATCCCTCCTCGCTTTCTCTTTAGTAAAGATAACTGAGACTCAGGTAATGATGGCCAACAATTATGAAGCACTCAGAGATCCTGTTCTAAGTAGTTTACATATATTAATCTATGTAAGCCTCAAAACAACCTTGTGAGGTAGGCACTATCAAAATTCACTTTATTTCGGATGAAGAAACCAAAGCACCAAGAGCTCAAGTAATTGGTCCTAGGACACAGAGCAAGGATAACAATGCTGGCAACGTGGCTCCTGAGCCATTATGCAATACCACCTATGATCCACTTTCTGCTCAGTAGCCCACACAAGAGAAATGTCTTTTATCTTATCTCAGGCAAAAGCAGTAATTTAATACGAGTGTGCATTCCAGCCACATTTTGTTGTCAGAAACCGTTACCAGGGGCAGCAATGGAATGTGAGGCATGATGGTATGTGCCAGGCTGTGGTTTCTTTCCCTGTTGCATCAGGGCACCTCCTTTCTCTCTTCACGTGGAAAGTTAGGCTGCAGCCTGCTGTCTCTCCTCAGTGGCAGCACTGAGGAGGACAGAGTGGGGAGGCCCTCTCTTTGCTCAGATTGTCTCTTTTCGAAAGAACTTGGTTCCCAGAAGATTTGTAAATCGAGGTGTGCTTGAAGGGGAAGTGATAATTCTGATTGGTAAATCAGGGATCAGGAACTGGGCAAGTGCAGCTCAGCCCCTCCCCTCTCCTCATGCTCCTTGTATCTACCCAAGGCACTAACAGTCTCCTCTGCTTCTGCAGCAGAGATTTTAGAGCGTAGGTTCTGCCTTTGCTGATGGGATAGAACTGCTATGGCTGAGAGGTTAAGTACATTGGATTT